TTTAGGGTTTTTGGGGTTTTTAGGGCTTTTAGGGCGTGTAGGGCTTTTAGGGGTTTAGGGGTTTAGGGGTTAGGGTTTCGGGTCCCAGCACCGCCTGAAGAGCATCTTGGTCCTCGCAAGAAGGACCTGCCTTGATGCCATGTTCATCTGTTGATGCCTTAAACCCTCAACCCTGAGCCACCAGACAGACGAAACCTCCGGTCAAGCCCTTCAGGTGCCCTTCCATTTTTCGAGCGTCTCATCTTCTCTTGTCGACGCTTCAAGGACTCTAAAACGAGTTCGAGTGGGCTTGGGGTTTAGGGTGTGTGAGCTGTTTGTTGCAGAACGGACGACAGGAGAGCACAAGACGAGACGACACTCCAGACCCCGAAACGAGGTGTATAGAGCCTTAAGAACCTAACTTCAAGCGAGAACTGCGCTTTTAGCTTTTACAGCACCCTGCTCAAAATCCCCATCTAGTCCTATCAGACCCGAGCCATCAGAGTACCACTTCGCGGTTCGGGTTGTAGGGCTCAGAGCCTAGCTACCCATATGGGTAGTTCTCTAAACTAGGGTCCCTTTTAGGGTCCTTCTTCTAGGGGTGCTGCACCATAAGTGGGACCTAAACAGGGACCCTAATGTAGAGAACTGCCCATAATATACTTCTGGTCTCCAGCAGATCCCTAATGCTTTGTCCTTTGAGGTGGGCTAACAAATATCGTTAGCATAGGTGACTTACATACCGTAAGCCCGTTACACTGCGCGAGGAGTATGAGATCCCGCAGCTTGTCTGCATGTCAAAGGGTTCGTGTTAACTGTTCCGTGTCGCGTTTAGGGTTTTAGGGCTTTGGGTCTTAGAGTTTAAAGGTGCGGGATTTACAGGTTAAAGTGTTCTAAAGCTTGAAGATGTGTGAGTTCTCTGCTTGCCCGACCTGGCAGAGGCTTCTCTCGGTCTTCAGGGCTTCGGTGCTTGGGCTCCGGTGAGTTTCCCGGCTTCGGGTCCCTTGGGGCTTCAGCTGGAAGAGCTGCAAACATCAGGAAGAGACTCCCCTCCGGCATCCGAGGCCAGGCAAGATAGAAGCTGATGCCATTCCTTCGGGCTCCTTTTTGGAATGGTATTATAGAATATACTCCAAGAGCCTCGTTTAATGAGGAAGTCCCCCTTCACCAGACTACACCCTTTGAGTCTGGTCGCCCTTGTAGTAACCCCCAAACTTTATCGATTTTCCCCTTGAAAATGACCCCTTAAAGGAACCCAGTTTTCACTCATCAAGGCCCTTGACAGTAGAGTTTGGATACTGCCCCCACTCAGTAACAGTTGAGTAATCTTCATAGTATGGACTGGTACTGTATGGGGCAGTGCCCAACCTAAACCCCTAAACTCTAAACCCTAAACCCTAAACTCTTAAACCCTAAACTCCTAAACCCTAAACTCCTAAACCCTAAACCTTAAACTCCTGCAGAGTTAAAAAAGCCTGAGGGCGAGGATGGAGCGCCTCCGCACCTGGCTCGACAAAGCCATGAGCCAGCCCTCCTTCGTAGCGACGAAGAGGACCTCAGGGTTCCTTAGGTTTAGAGATCGGGGTTTAGGGTATGGGGTCTAGGACATGTGGTTTAGGGGTTTAGGGTTTAGGGGTTTAGGGGTTTAGTTAGGGGTTTGGGGTTTACTGTAGGGTTTAGGGTTTAGGGGTTTAGGGGTTCAGGGGTTTAGGGTCAAGGTTTGAGGCTAAGGGAGTTTGAGAGGTCTGGCTGGGGGGAATAGGCGAAGGATTCAGGAGTTCTAGCTGGGGCTTGTAGGGCTGTATAGGTGCGGTATGTTCATAAGACTGCATGAGGTTCCTGATAAACAAAAAGGTTTAATTAGGGATCTACCGTCAAGCAGGTTCCAACACGTTTCCGTTAGTCTTCGGTGTCAATGCTGGCAGTCCATGTTGTCGTTGCAAGTATCCCGAATCGATTTCCTGGTCTTATGAGCATCCGTGAAGCTGGCCGCTAGCCCTGGGAACCCGCATGTGCTTTCCTGACCCGTCGAATCAGCAACACACGGCAGCTTGCAAAGAAAACTCTTTCCCGTCTCTCAGGCAACTAACTCAGTGCAAAGATCAAGCCTTCGAGCAGTTTGGAGTGTGGAATTGTAGGTTTCAGGTTCATGCCGCCACTCCGAAGCGAACACGGATTGGGTACCGTCTCTTCTCGCCGTCTTGAACCCCGGACCCCAAGCGCTAAACCCCAAACGTTCGCATCGTTGGAGTTTGCAGCTTCCCAGGGTCACAGCTTGTTTTTCCTTCAGAAACTCGCCAAGCCCTCCCACATCCTTTGGATGATTCCGAGGGCAAAAACTCAGTTTGTAGAGAACTAGCCCTCGCAACTCTGGGCCCTTGAAAGCCCTAAACTAAACTTTCTAAACCGCGATCTTCGGAATCCTAAAATCCAAAGGCCCACCCCGCCCCCCTCCCCCACCCCCAAAAAAACAAGCCCGACACCCCGAAACCCAAAGCTCGGGACTTCCTGTCTAGGCCAGAGGAGAAGTTGGAGGAGGTCTATCAACGGTTTCTCGCCGTCAACTACACGTCCCTTGGCCTGTGCTAATAGTCTCTATTGGAGTTCCACGTTTTGGTTGCCTTGCTTTCCTTAGAGGATCCTAAACACAGCACTGGCTAAGCAAAAATGAGCACGAAACACGAGTGAGTCTTATTAGCGCAAACGGAGGGATGCCACCTTGCCTCTGGAAGTCTCTACAGCCCAGGTGTCGGTGTAATTGCTACAGCGCATAATAGGGGTCTCAGAAAGCAAAAGATCTTGATATGCACCCTCAGCAGGGTACCTAGCTACTGAAACTTGAAACCCCGCGACAACTCACAGATTGAAGTTGCAGGCTTTGGCACATATACATATACATATATTTATTTGTTTATTTATTTGTTGCCTAAAGACAGCATATATGAAGCGAAGGTTTGGCGGCTTGAACCGGAACTAAGCCATTCCGGCGTGCTGCGCAGGCAATCTGAATGTGGGGGTTTTGCAGGCTCTAGGGTTTAGGTTTGGGGCTGTTTTTTGTGAGTGTCAGAAGGTATATAGGACCTAAACCCCAATCCTAACAAGCCCCACATAGATGTTGGGCCACCGGGTTTAGGATCCTTGGCTTCACTAGCTTCCTGGGCGTATGGGTAGTTCTCTAAACTAGGGTCCCTTTTCGAGTACCCGGTATAGTACAGCACCCTTAGAAAAAGGACGCCAAAAAGGGACCCTCATTTAGAGAACTACCCATATTCCTTCAGAGCAGTGAAGCCTGACCCCAAGCCTTAGCCTTAACCTTCAGCTTTCACTCCTACATGCTACGCATCCTAAAACTCTGATTCTTGAAAGGGTTCCTTGACGGGGTCTATAAGGGTAAGTGCGGGGGTTTCATGGTGTAGCCTGGGGATCGAGGGTTTGCTTGGCATGGCCAGGACACCTCGACTCGATCATGATGGCCGTGACAGCCATGCGCTGCGCTGGCAAATGAGACTGGCTCACCGCTCGACTGTGCAGCCTTGCCACAGCAAGATCTCCGTTCCCTCATTGTAGTTACTTGTGTCGTTGCCTTGTTAAAAGGATCCTGACCGATAAAGGTGGTAAACCCCCCAAATAACCACAGTAGAGAATATGGATACAAACCTGTCTATGTGCTTCGTTGCACCCTGAACGTCCTGAGTCCGTCAACCCTGGAATGGTATGCCTCCGCAGCCTTCTGTGGCTAGGACTCTCCTGCCATAGCATTCCGTCATGGTTCAGTACAAGCCAGAGACAGGCAGTGCCCAAATCCCGAACACCAAACTTTGCCACAGCTCGCAACATGGACTCCCGGACTCGGTTACATATGGATTCGGGGGCTGAACTTAGATATGAAGATATCGAGATCCTGAGTTAATGATGCTGACAAGATCGTGAAAGACCGACTGCCCCTTCCCAAAACCTGGTGAAGCGCTCTTGGGACATGGCCCGGAAGCCAAGAATGCATCCAAACCCTAAAGCCCCAACCCTCTAAGCCCTAAAGCCCGAAGCCTCTACACAAAACCCCTGAGGCTTAAGGCCTAAAGCCCTAAACCCTAAACCCAAACAGCTAAGGCTTAAGGCCTACAAGCCAAAGCCTGGAGCCTTCCCCTCCCTGGTCCCTGAATTCGCACATGGCGCACGGGCGGCAGACCGTGCCCGTTGGACGGACCATGAGGCCTTGGGTGTTGAGGCTTTGGAGTTCAGGTTTCGGTTTTTTGTTATGAGAGTATTACCTGATGATATATGGGATACATCAGTAAATCATATTTATGATAATATACGTATGGATTCAATATTAGTTCCGCTTCGGGGTTGGAGATTTCGCATCAAGGCTCTTGGGGGCTTTGTGGTTTTGGGCGCAACGCGCAGAGTGCCCGGATTTCCGGCTCAGGCGAGATAAACCCACGAAGACCTGTCAAGTTCAATACAGCTATATTGCAGAGATTGGAAGCATGCCAGGGTCCAGCATACATTTGAGACTCAAGGCATAGCTGCAGGTTCGCCCCCGAGTCTCAGAAGCTGAATGTCGCATTTTTTACACAGCCGCACCTTGGTTAAGTGAATATCCCAGGGACAACACCACTGAAGCCTGCATAGAGCCTGTGTCCCATACTTTGAAGCCCCTGAGCATATGCAAGCCCCCACAAACTAGACCGTAGGGTTCTGAATCCAGAGACCCACAATACCGTCAATCCTGTGGCCATAAAGCCGAACAACTCGTAGAATCACAAGTAAATCTCAAGATTTGTCCCATAAAAGGGCGCCCCTGGTGCTGGCAGCGGCCGCAGCGCTAATCGGGTCTTCCAGGGCCTTCTGCACCTCGGAGAGTTTGGATTCTGATGGTGTGGCTTTGGTTTTTTCGGCGGAAGGGGAGAGGGGGGGAACATGGGGTTCGGAGTTTTAGAGCTCTCTGCTTCCAGACTGTTTCTGCGTCTGTGAGTGTGTGTGTGTGTGTTTGTTTTTGTCTGTTTGTCTGTCTGTCTGTCTGTCTGTCTGCCTGGCTGTCTGTCTGTCTGTCTGTCTGTCTGTCTGCCTGTATGTCTCTGTGTGTCTCTGTCTGTCCCTGTCTGTCTCTGTCTGTCTCCGTCCGTCCCTGTCTGTCTCTGTCTGTGTCTGTCTCCGTCTGTCTCTGTCTGTCTGTCTCTCTGTCTCTGTCTGTGTCTGTGTCTGTGTCTGTGCGCGTGACTCAGGAACCCAAAGTCTTGCAAGCTAATTCATAAACCTTGTACTGGTTCCCGAATCGCTTTAGCTTTGCTGGCCGTGTACAACCTAGGCCCTAGGCCCGTTGCCTCAAACAGCGCAGCTCCTACACCCTCCACCCTACCTGCACCCCCTCCGAAGTAGGTAACCTAACGGCCCAACAGCTACAACAGGCTGATATTCTTTGGGGATGCAGATAGGTTTTTGTTTTCGGATTTTGCACATGCTGCAAAGCCGCGAAGAGCCCATGAGTCAATGAGGCCAAAGATGCAGAGTTCTTTTACAGCCGCTCCCCAGGCTCGTGAAGTGTGGTTTCCAGTCTGATTCAGGTTTGGGTTTAGGGTTCAGGGTTTAGAGATGTTTAGAGCCAAGCGTTAAGGGTTGAGGGTTTAGGGTTAGAGCCTGTAGGGTTTAGTGATGCAGGGTTCGGGGTTTGGGGTGTGGGTTAGGGCTTGCAGGGTTTAGGTGTTCGGGTTCAAATTGTCGATGGTTTAGGGCTTCGTTGTCTCAGACTTGGCTGGAGTTTGGCTGCACTGGCTGGAAGGATTAGAGCCGTATGTGTTTCTGTGTGCTTTCTATCATGGAGGATGCAGTATGAACACCAGATTACAGCAGGATTGCTATTGGTACTGCTGCCACTGTTGCTTGACGTAGCTGAAGTTTGTCCTCACTGTTATAGTTACGAGAGTTTTTCATCATAGCCACGAAACCCTACGGGTCCAAAAATGATGTACCAATGAGGGATAAACGTGGGCCCTACCTTACTTTAGTAGAGACTACTGTAAGGCCAAAGTACATACTGGGCACAACGGTAACCTAAGGGAGTTTATGTCCAGGCAAGCTCTCGTTCTGCAGAGGCCGAGCGGTCCACTTCCCCGCAGCGCGTCGCCGCCCAATCTCGATCTTTACACCGCGATGCCGGGCTGGTTCAGCAAAGCCTGGAGAAGCCCATATGGGAAGTTTTCTAAGCTGGGGTCCCTTTTGGGGTTGCCGTACTATATTGGGGACCCAAAAACCCATATATGCCCGATGGTGACAACGTGTCCTGGATCGAGGAAGGGTGTGGTGTCGGCGCCCATGCCAAAGCTGCCGCCCGGAAAGCAGTCCCCCGGCTTGGATTCAACTCGGTCTAGGTCTCTGTCCATGGTTTCTAAGACTCGAAGTTCTTCTTGGGGGGCAGGGTCTTCGTGACGTTGAAGAACATCGATGAGTATGGGCAGAAGTTGCGTATATAATGTAGCAGGGCCTGTCAGACACCTAGACAGGCTCCCAATACGCCTTGCGAAAATGCGAGGAACCCCAAACCCCTCAACCCTAAACCTAGTTACTAGTTTTTGTAGAGAACAGCGAGCGGCCAGGCTCAGTCCTTGGAGTCCCGGATTTGATGAGGATGCAACGGTAGTCCCCTAGGTGCTTTGTGAACCCTAATTGTACCTGTAGCCCCCCCTAGATTGTATAGGTCCTACTCACAGAGTCTGTAGGCTGAGCCCTAAACCCCTGAACCCTAAACCACCTTTCAGTCCCTGAATTCTTGAAGTAGCGCCACGTCTGCTTGAATCGCGTCAGGTCGGTCTTCGATGGGGTGCCCCTGCTGCAGACGCCCAGCCAGCACTAGAGCCCAAGGTTACACCAGGCCCTTATGAGGTCATTATAAGGGCAGCTCTGCTTTCGATGTGTTTTTAACCCGTCCTCCCTTGAGATTAGCGTGAGTATTGCCTCCCCTGCTATGGCTGCCATGAGTACCGTTCTAACAGCTGCTGCTAAACCACCATCACATCTTTAAGTAGAAACATTATTGCAAAGAGTCAGATTTATGTCGCTTACGGATTTAGGGCTTCAGGTTTGCGGCTGCTGCTCCCCATTCCTCCGTTTGCTGCTACACAGCTATGGCCAGTGCCCCGAACCCAAACCAGAAGGTTTCCAATGCAGGGTTTAGGGTTTAGGGTTTTGGTTCCTTATTACAAACATTGTATAATTGGCCCCAAAACCCTGTTCTAATTATTAAGGCCCCTTCAGTCTAAACTCTCAGGGCAGATCAGAGAGCCCTCGGATTTCCATCCGCATCTTCACGAAGTGATCCTCTTCACTAGTCGGGCCCACCATGCTGATAACCGTGAGCCGGAGCAACCCCAGAAGAAAGCCTTATACACCCTAGAAGCGCGATATTAACACCGGTCTAGGGCTTATAGGATTTAGGGTTTATAGGGTTTATAGGGTTTAGGGTTATACACGCTTAGAAGCCCGATAGTAACACCAGACCCTTGGCCTTAAAGATTCGTAGCTTATTCTGGGTGTCCCCTTTATAGTCCCTACTAGCAGCCCTCTACTCCAAAACCATATAATTCGGCAGACCTCTATGTTATGAAACCCTTATAGCAATCCTCACAGCAACCGTACTGTATAACCCTTACATTCAAGCCCTGATACTCAACCCTTCTAGCATTTGTTCTAGAACCCTATAGAAGGAGGGAGCCCTTTACAGGAACCCAGGGTCCCTTTTGGGATCCGTCTAAGGGTTCCCTTTAGGGTTTCCTTGAAGGGACCCTCTAAGGGTTGCATTTCTGGGTCCCTTTAAGGAACCCTCTAAGGGTTCCTTTATGGGTCCCTTTAGGGGACCCTCTGAGGGTTCCACTTTTAGGGTTCCTGGTAAGGGGCCCACTCCGAGTGTTCGGCGCCGAGGACCGACGAAGTAGGAGATCCGGGTCTTGCCGCCCTCGTGGGCCAGTTTGGAGGTCGACTCGC